CTCATATGCGTGTGAAAGTTGGACAACCACAGAAGAATCGATGCATTTGAGTTATGGTGTTGGAGAAGAATATTAAAAACCAATCTGTGTTTAAAGAAGTACAGCCAGAATGTCTTAAAAACCAGGATGGTGAGGCTTCGTCCCTCATACTTCAGATATATTATGAGGAGGGATCAGTCCCTGGAGAAGGACATCATGCTTGGTAAAGTGGAGGGTCAGCCAAGAAGAGGAAGACCCCCAATGAGATGGCTTGGCACAGTGGCAAGCAGCAATAGGCGCAGGTGTAACTACTGAGTTGACACAGAATTGGACAGTATTTTGTTCTGCTGTGATAGGGTCTATATGAATTGGTACCAACTCGACTACACCTAACAACACCAGTGTTCATGATGGATATTGATCTATAATTTTCTTTCTTAGTGATGTCTTTGCCTGCTTTGGGTATGAGGATTATGCTCACTTTATACAGTACATTCGTGAGCTTTCCATTCTTTTCTATGTTATGGAATAGTCTGAGTAGAACTGGCGTCGCTCTTCTCTGACTGTTTGGTAGAATTCACCAGCAAAGTCATCTGTTCGCATCCTGTTGTGTTAACGTGTTGACTTTGGTTCGTTCTTCTTTTTTGATGCGTACATTTATTGCTATAAATTGCCCACTCAGCACTACTTTTCTGTGTCCCAAAGGTTTTGGTTTGTTGTGTTTTCATCCTCATTTGTTTCAAGGCAATTTTTTATTTGTTCTATCACCTAGTAGGTTTTAAGCAGTGTGTTACTCAATTTCTGTGTAGTTGATATTTTTCCCTTGATCTTCCGATTGTTCATTTCCAATTTTACAGCAATATGATTTGAAAGATGCTTTGTAGTGTTTCAGTGTTTTTTAATGTATTGAAGCTTGCTTTGAGGCCTAACATATGGTCTGTTCTGGAAAGTGTTCACGTGTATTGTTGTTGGGTTGAGTACTCTGTATAGGTGTATGAAGTCAAATTGGTTCATTGTGCTGTTTAGTTCTACTTTGTCTCTGGTGAGTGTCTCTCTAGTTGTTCTGTCTTACTATTATTGTGGGGAGCATGGTGGCTTCATACAGTAGATTCTGGATTGCAAACCACAAGGTCGGTGGTTCAAGCCTAACAGCCACTCCATGGGAGAAATATGAGGCTTTCTGCTCCGCAAAGATATAAAGCCTTGGAAGGAAGCCTTATACGTGGTCGCTGTAAGTCAGATCCAACTCAAAGACAGTTAAAAATAACAACCACAACTATTATTGTAGAGTTGTCTATTTCTTCAATTCTATTGTTGTTGTTGTTAAGTGCTGTCGAGTCCATTCCAACCCATAGCAACCCTGTATAGGGTTTCCAAGAAGCAGCTGGTGAGCTTGAACCGCCAACCTTGCAGTTCAAACGGCTTTGCAGTCTGGTGCATTAAATCACAGCGCCACACCAGGACTCCTCAATTCTATTAGAGTTTGATTTATGCATTTTCAGGCTCTTTCATTGGGGACATAGATATTTATGATGGTTATGTCCTCTTGCTCATTTTACCCTTTAATCTTAAGAGAATGTCCTTCTTTGTCTCTTATGTTGCTCTTTGCCTTAAAGTCTATTTTATCAGAGAATATTGATTGCCACTCCTGCTCTTTTTGATTGTCATTAGCTTGATATAGTTTTTTCCATCCTTTAATTTTTAATCTATTTTTGTCTTTGTGTGTAAAAGTATGCCTTTTGTAGACAGCATATTGAAGGATCCTGTTTTCTTCTCCATTCTGCTACTCTCTGTCTCTTGACTGGTGCATTTAATCCATTGACATTCAGTGTAATTATTGATAGGTATTCATTGATTATTGTCATGTTGCTGAGTGTTTTGTGGTGCTGCTGGTTCCACCTGATTGTCTGTGCTGAGTTCTTCTTGTCTGTGCATTTTCTTGTCATTTTCTTCATTGCTATTGTTGGAATGTTTCCCAAATCTTTATGGTTTCCCCTTTTCTAGATTTGATGTGAAGGTGTATTAATTTTCTTTGAGGTTACCCTCTAATTTATTAGTTTCTTCTCCAGTTTAAAAGCTTGTTTTATCTTGAAATCTACTTTAATTTCTTTGCCATCTCATAGTTCTATAACTACACTTTTCCTTGTTTTTGCTTTGTAGTTGTCTTCGTTATCAATTGGTATTTGTAGTTCACTATTTTCAGTCTTGTATGTTTGCTTTACTTTGGATACTTCTGTATCTGCAGTGAATTCTGGGTGGTTGCTGTCTGTGTCTATTTCAGGTTGCTCTCTGCTGTTGTTTGTTCTAATTAGTATTTTTTGTAAAATTGATCAGGTTATAAATTCTTTTAATTCCTGGTATGGCACTGTGGGTTAATATACCAGACTGCAAAACCATTTGAACTGCAAGGTTGGCGGTTCAAGGTCACCAGCTGCTGCTCCTTGGAGCTGGTGGCCAGAATCGACTCGATGGCACTTAACAACAACAACCACAAGAGAGAAGGAATAAACAAACAAAACTAATGAAGGGGGAAAAACAGGGTAGGTGTCGCACCCAGAGAGGAAAAAATTCTGGGGTGTCCTGATTGTCAGGGGCCCCATGTGGTGAATGAGCAAAGGGTGAGACAGTGGCCCTCCAACCCTCATTGGAGTTCTTCTAAGGCTAGGTGTTGTCTGTGCTGGGCCCCCAATCCAAAAGACCCCCAAGGCACCTGGGGGATCAGGGTATTTCTGCCCCAGACAGCAGCCAAGGATGAGAGGTCCCACGAGTCTGGGGCTGGTGCTGCCAGCTCCCCACTCACTTTGATGCCACTCTGCCACATGAAAAAACAGAAAGTTCACTGGGTACACAATTGGGAACTGGCTGTGCTCTGGTCACCAGGGTAATGTGGGATACAAGAAAAAAATTAGCACCCTTCTCTCTGCCCATAAGCAGTATTCCTCCGTAGCACCTAGCACTCTCTCACCTTCAGAACCGCTCACAAAAGTTCTAGATGATCACACCACACTTGACCAACTGGTACAAATCAGCGGTCGTCTTTTATTATTCTCCACACGTCTGCTCAGGAGGCCTGGTGTGGCACTGTGGGTTAATGCGCTGGACTGCAAAGTCGTTTTGAACCGCTAGGTCAGCAGTTCAAGCTCACTAGCTATTCCTTGAAAACCCTATGCATGGTCAATATGGGTTGGAACCGACTCAACGGTACTTAACAAGAACAGCCACAATGCATGTCTGTCAGGTGGTTCTCCTAGTTCGGACTAGTCCAGGCTGGGCCAGTTCTGCAGCTTTGCAGCAGCACTCACCTGAGTCCAGATGCCAGCGTTGGTACAGATGGCTCCCCACTCCCTTTGATGGGGCTCATCACTGCATGGCTCAAAACTGCGGCTCACCACCATCCAGCTCTGACCACTGGGATAGGAGGAGCCTCAATGGGGGTGTATGTGGGTAAGGGCTTACCACATACCTCTAGTCACCAATGGCATGTGGGGAACGAGCAAAAGAATCGCACATTGATCTCTTCAAGTCACTGCTATGTTTCCGCAATGCTGTCTTGTCTCTGAAGTTGCTCAGAAAAGTTGAAGATAGCTGCACTGAGTCTAGTCAGCAGCACACGTCACTAGTCTCTCTTTTTTTGCCACGTCTGTTCTACTTTCCCTCCTAGTAAGCATTTAATGGACTTCTCTGTCCCTTCTGAAGCTCAGGATTCCGGGACTATCATCTGCATCTGTTTCACTTGTCTTGCCTCGTCTTCCTTGTAGAGGGCCTTTATAGCCCTCCTGCCTAGTACCCTTTCTTGCCATCTTCTCTTTCCCTTCTTTTAATGAGGTTAATAGGACTCCTGGTGTGGCGCTGTGGGCTAATGTGTCAGACTACAAAGTCATTTATCCTGCAAAGTTGGTGGTTCAAGCCCACCAGTTGCTCCTTGGAAACCCTGTACCGGGTTACTATGGGTCAGAATCGGCGCCAGCACTTAATAACAGCATTTTAGTATAACTATATTAACATATCCTTTACATTGTGGTTTTCCACTCTGCCAATCAACAGTTTTAGTTGCTATGCAACGTGCATACTGCCTTGCTTTCTAAGAGAGCAGTTCAGTTTCTAGCAGGGCCTCAGCCTCCATTTTTTCCCCTTCCAGTTAATTGCGTGGAGCCCGGGTGTGGCACTGTGGGTTAATGCGCCAGACTGCAAAATCAGTTTGAACTGCAGGGTTGGTGGTTCAAGCTCACCAGTCGCTCCTTAGAAACCCTCTAGAGGGTCACCATGGGTCAGAACCGACTCAACGGCATTTAACAACAACAAAATTGTGTGGTACACCCACGTTTTACAAATCTGAATCTAATGTGGTTTTGCTTCATCAGCCATAACTGAACTGGGCTGAATTGGTTTGAAGTCCTGGTGTGGGTTTTAAAAAGCAGATGCCCAGGAGGGGCAAATTTGCTGTGTGTTTGAATTGGGGGAGGGTCTGGAGGGCTGAATTGGTCTCTGCTTCAAGTCTTTCTATCTCTTTGCTTCTGATTTTCTCTCCCTGTCATTTTCCTTGCCCACCTCATCACCTTTCATTTCTTCCCTGCCTTTATATCTAGACATAAATTTTCTACATAGCTAATGCTTATTGTATAGAGTCAAGAAAATTCAGATAAGCAAAATGAAGGGAAAAAAAAATCACTATAAATCCACTGCCTACCACTGTAAATCTGTGTGAGCACAGATACGCGATCCCTGCTTGTAGTCTCTGCCTTCCTCAGCAGTCCTCGATCGGGGCTGCGGTACAAGCTTTATTGTCAGACATACGACATTTTGTGTTCCCTGTTGAACACAATGGTGGGTGAAGGAAACATTTGATGTTTTTTTTCTCTTAATGAGAAAACTTAAGTAAATAAAAGTACGCTATGCTTCTCCAGGCCCCTGAGTTTTTCCGTTGTGAGTCAGGAGTCCTTGGTTACCAAAGACGAGGGAGGGAGCATTCCCACTCTAGTCTCTCACTGGGGTAGCCATGGACTTTCCTGTCTGCTCTTCAGGTAGACGGGGTCAGCTACCTCCTCCAGGAGATCTATGGAATTGAAAACAAGTACAACACCCAAGAGTCCAAGGTAAGTTTTATCTAAAATTCCAAATGAGCTCTTCTCAGGAGGCAGAGTAAGAAGACCTGGGGTGGCGCTGTGGGTTAAAGCGTCAGACTGCAAAGCCATTTTACTACAAGGTCAGTGGTTCAAGCTCACCAGCTGCTCCTTGGAAACCCTATACAGGGTCGCTATGGGTCGGAACCAACTCGACGGCACTTAACAGCAACATGTCACCGTAGAATTGTGCTCCATAAGGTTTTCAATGGCTGCATTTTTCTGAAGTTGATCACCAGACCTCTCTTCTGAGATACCTCTGTTGTTGTTGTTAAGTCCCATCAAGTACGTTCCGACTCATAGAGACCCTGTATAGGATTTCCCAGGAGCGGCTGGTGGGTGTGAACCAGCAAGCAGCCTTACGGTTCAAACTAACCTTGTGGTCCAGTGCTTATCCTACAGCACCATACAAGGACTCCTCTGGGTAGACTGAAACCACCAACCTCTCGGTTATCAGCCCAGCACTTTGCGCTGCCCGGGGACTCCTTACATAAGGATCTGAGTCAGGAATCCCACCTACAAACTCTAGAATCCTTTAGGGTCAACAGGGCATCTTCCTGTCCCTTGTCTCAGATGGTTACACTTCTAGCACTTGGGCAGAAACTGAATCTTGCCAGGTGGTTTGGGTTCCTCTTTTCAAGTCACTTTCCCGACAGGGCCCCTCACTGCCCTTTCACGCTCACCTGTGGTCTCCTGAGCCCCTTCAGAGTAGACAGCTGAGGCCCAGGGGATGCACTTGCATGTTAGTCTCGCCTTCCCAGCTTCGGTCAAGGCCGCTGTAAGTGTAAGACTTGCACCCATTACTTGTCTCCGCTCTGCAGCCAAGCTGTCAGTAAAGAAGGCCTCTGTGCCATCAGCCAGCTTTGTCTCCCTGGCAGGTGGCTGAGGATGAAGTGAGTGACAACAGTGCCGAGTGTGTGGTGTGTCTCTCAGATGTCCGGGACACCTTGATCCTGCCCTGCCGTCACCTCTGCCTCTGTAACACCTGTGCAGACACCCTGCGCTACCAGGCCAACAACTGCCCCATCTGCCGGCTCCGTAAGCCACGGCCTGGGTGGGTGGGGCAGGTGGGATCATCCCTCCCGGCTTCTGTCCGCTTCCCTGCCTCACAACATCCTCACTGCCTGCTTTCTTCTTCCCAGCTTTCCGGGCACTGCTCCAGATCCGAGCTATGAGGAAAAAACTGGGCCCCTTGTCCCCAGGAAGCTTTAACCCCATCATCTCATCGCAAACGTCCGACTCTGAAGAACATTCCGTAAGTTCAGTAAGTGAGCCTTGAACCAGGGCCACCTGACACGACATTGCAACATGTCATAAAACCTTGGCACACCGAAACGAGCCACTGAGATAAGGCATGTCAGAAGCAGCTGACTTCACTAGTCTCTAAGGCTCCGTCTTCCTCTTTGGGCTCTTGGTGTCCAGTTAATATTGACCCTTTCTAGAGCCTTCTATTAACAGTGCACACTCCAGGGGGTCTGGCTCTGAACTCCCACAAACAGAAACAAGGGAATGATTGTCTGGGATTTGAATGTAATTTACTATCTTACTTTGAATCCTTGAAGGAGGTAACTGTTTTTGCTTTCTCCCATTTCCTGGCTACAGCAACTGGGAGTAGAGTCCGTGAAGTAACAGACCCTCATTTCAGAGTGTGGGCGACAGGCACCATTGGGGGTGGTGTCCCCTCAGAGCTGTGCAGTTACAACACATTCGGCCTCTTCAGATTAGCCCACTGATGGAAGGGGGGGACGACGCAATAAGGGGTACTGGGATAATTAGTCAGCTATTTATGGAGGAAAAAATCAGCTGAGCATTTTACTCCTTATCCGATAATAAATTCCAGAGGGAGTAACTAGTTAACTATATTAAAACCCAGCAGACCCAACAAAATAAAGGGAAGCTGAGAATCAATCGGTGATAGTTATGGAGTTGACTTCGGATGGAAGGAACTCTCAAAACCTCAAAGTCATGGAAAACGCCTAAGAAAAGGACTGGTACATTGTACTACGTAAAACATTTTCAACTTCAGAGATCTGAAAAGTGACCCGTGTTAAAAGGCAAAAGAACAAATTGCCCTTTTTTAAGAAGCCCCCACAACATATTTGTCAGAAAGCTAATGAATGTCTTTTACAGCTCATCTAAATAAAAACATGAGTCAAACAGTAGATAAGTGGGTAAAGGGCAGCAAAGTCTGAGAAGAAGCATAGCTGGTTAACACTCATATAAAAATAAAGTTAAAAAAAATGATACAAATTAAAATACCATTTTTCACCTCTCAAATTAGAGACGATTTTAAAGACAGTGTGCAGGCAGAGTAGCAATCCAGTAGGCCATCACTGTTACTAAGAGGAGTGTAACTAGATCTATCATATTTAGGGTGGGGAGAAAAACATACATAAAAAGCAACTATATATATGAAGAATCTTGAAAACATCCATACTGAGACTAGATGGACCCCTGAGACTATTGTCCTGAGCTGCTCTTTCAACTTTGAAGGGAAATTACTCCCAGGGGACCGCCTTTCAGCTAAATAACAGATTGGTTCATAAGCAGTAAACGCCTGGAGTACTGTGCTCCTGTAGAACAAATCACCCATGAGACCTGAGGGGTTAACAGTTACCCTAAAGCAAAGCTGAGAATGGTGGAGGCAGGGGCAGGGACGGTAGCTTCCTGGAAACCACCACCAGAAAGGTAAGAAAGGTGACCCAATGTGGCAAACGTGACAAATGTTACTGGGCAGCAGGTGTAGAAATTACTCAGTGGGGACCTTATTTGAGGTCCAAAAATTCAATTAAAAAAAAAAATTTCTTTTAAAGCATTCATACCTAATAACACAAGGTCTAAAAATTTTAAACCAAGGAAATCATCTGAGGGGAATAAGAGTCATACCTAAGGATGCTCATCAAAGAATCGCTGACAATAGGAAATGTTGGACCAAACCAGTGGCCAGCACAAGTAGAACAGTAGGAGCCCTGGTGGCACCGTGGCTTAAGCACTTGGCTGCTCATCAGCAGTTCAAACCTCTCAGATCCTGTGTACGCTGCTCCTCTGAAGATGAGAATGTTGGAAACCCCATGGGGCTGTTCTGTTTCATCACCTGGGGTCTCTATGAGTCAATATCAGCACACAACTGCCTCAGTGTCACACAACAACTGTAGGACAGTTAGGGAACTTACGCTATCTGTGAAAACAGGATCTGAAAAGATTTCAGAAACCTGGTTTTATGTTCAATGAACGAAGCAAAATACAAAATTGTACAGGTGGTTCATGACTGGACTCCTGGTGTGACGCTGTGGGATAAAGCACTAAGCCGCAAAGTCAGTTTAAACCACAAGGTCGGCAGTTCAAATTCACCTGAAAACCTATTCAGAATCGCTATAATAGAACCGACTGGATGACACTTAACAATAACTATGTAAACAGTTTATGGGGAAAAATGCAAGAAAAGACACCGGAATGGTAACGAAAGATATTTTTAGGTGTGATTATTTCCCCCGAAATCTTCTGTAATACAACATATATTTCCATTACAATCAGAAAAAAATGGGCATTGAGAAAAAGTTCATCGGCAGGCTCTCGGAGTGTGACATTGTCTTTGTCCTCTGCCTCTCACACACACTTTGCTCACCTGCCCGTTTACCAATGTAGAGTCAGAAACGTGCGCATGCCATGAGATTATTCACTGACTCTTTCAACCTGCCTCTGGTTCCTCCAGTCCTCAGAGAACGTTCCACCAGGCTACGAAGTGGTATCTCTTCTGGAGGCCCTCAACGGGCCCCTCACACCATCTCCAGCAGTCCCTCCACTTCACGTGCTTGGAGATGGCCACCTCTCAGGAATGCTGCCTTCCTACGGCAGTGATGGCCACCTGCCCCCTGTCAGAACACTCTCCCCCCTGGACCGCCTGTCAGACTGCACCAACCAAGGACTCAAACTCAAAAACAGTCTCTCCAAGTGAGTAACCAGCTCTCAGCAAGTTGACCCTGGAATTCTTTGAGACACTTTCAACCCATCTTTCCCTCCTTAGTGTTGACCTCCAAGGAGCTTCTCAGTCTCCTTGGGAGAGAGGACAACACGGTGGGTGGTGTTTGGGTACTTAGGACAATTCAAACTCAGCCAATCTCTTAAGTGTGCAGTCCAGGGGTAGAAGGAAGGGAAAGTATGCACTAGGTATGCACTGTGGACAGACGGGGGACGCTCTGAGGGTCTCACCAGGCAGGCGTCACTTAGTCTGACGGCTGAAAGAACCTTGTGATGCTGAACCTTTAAGTCCAGTTAAGCACAAAACGTGGTTTCTGTGGCACACTGAAAAAAGGTATTTATAGATGAAACTATGGTGCTCTCCACGTTCAGAAGTTAGTTACTGAAGGAGCTAAAGCCAAAACAGAGGCCTCTGACATCCATTTCAGCAGCGCTTTGTTGCCACCTTCCCTGTCCCCTTAAGATTTGGTTTCCCTCTAAGGCCCCCTGCAGGGCAGCCCTCTGAAATCCTGGTCATTCAGTCAGTGTTGGCTGCAACTGTCTCTTCCCCCGCCCGACTTCTCCAGGTCCATTTCCCAGAATTCTTCTGTGTTACATGAGGAGGATGACGAGCATTCCTGTAGCGAGTCTGAGACACACCTCTCTCAGAGACCGTCCGTACAGCATCTAGAAGAGGTAGGTAACGGGCATCCTTCCTCAAGCTGGGCTGTGAGGCTCCAGGCCCCTTCCCCAAGTCCTCTGCTTCCATTTATACACCAAACACCTTCCCAACGGCCTCTGGGGAGCAGCAAAGCTTCCTTTAGGGTCACTGACTCAACAAGGCCTTGAGCTGCCGTGTTTACCAGGCTCAGTTCTCTGTGCTAGAGAGCCGTGCGGGTGGAGTGGTTGCAATCTCACTTTCCAGGCAGGAGACCTGGGTTCAAGTCTCAGGCAGCACATCTCACCCCCATCTGTTAGTGTATGGGATCACACCCAACCCACCAGCAGCTGTAGGAGACAAGTACAGAAAGCCTGCCCATCCGCCCACCCACATGGAGCTTGTATTGTAGAGTCGGGGGAGGTGGACACACAATAGGTCAAAGACGTGTGTCAGCTGGTACTTGGATAAGGGAGAGAAGGAGCTTCAGGGACACAGCTACGCAGATGCCTGAGAAGAAGCTCGGCCCCCGAGGGAAGGCCTTCTGGGGAGGCCTGGGTGGGGGAGTGGATGAAGACCAGGCGTCCTCCCCCAGCAGCCCTCACAGACACTAGTAACCAGGGATTTATTCTATCCATGCAAAGACGGTCACATGGTTCCTGTCATTGGGGGCCATCATGGTCCAGTAGGGCCATGTCCATGAACACTAGACACACAGTTACTATTCAGTCAATATTTGTTCACCGAGTCCCTGGGCTGTGTGAACATTTAACTGAACTCAGCTGTTAATTGAAAGTTTGGTGTTTGAGTCCACCCAGAGCCACCTTGGAAGAAAGATCTGGTAATACCCTTCCCAAAAAGCAGCCATTAAAACTCTATGGGGCCCAGTTCTCCTGACCCACATGGGACGCCATGAATCAGAATGAACCAGATGTTAAGTCTTTTCTGACAGAAGGAATGAATTTGAACCACAGAAAATAAGTGCACCCACAATGAGGGAGGACAGGGAGGAAGGAGCCTGTAAGCGGAGGGAAACGGAAATAGGGCCAGAAGGAGCAGCATTGGAGCTGAATCTAGAGACTGTTTCCTCCCGAGAAGAAAGGGGGGAACAGCTTCCCAGGTGGAGGACCTGCATGCCCAGGGGCACTCACTATGGGAACTTCGCTTTGGACTTTGCACAGGCCAGCCATACAGGGAGTCTTGCTTCACAAAGGTCCACTTGGGGCTGGGGGGTGAGGATTAGACAGGAGACAACAGATGGGGTCAGGAAAGAGCTCACCAAGAAAGAGCTCACCTTGCCTGAGCGAGGGTGAGAAAATGGCCTGGAGAAAAGTCATGGGTTCCTTAGGACCAATCCCACTGTGCATCTGTCTGGCACCGCAGTGCTGCTCAGGTAACAGATGGTCCAGATCAGGGTCAGGAATGGGAGGCCTGGATGAGGAGCTCGAACTCCAGGACAGATAGCATGGGGGTGTGGTGAGCCCAGCAGGCAGGGACCTTACTGTTGTCTGCTCTTTTGCTTTCAGAAAGAAAGCAGTTCATAATCCTGGGGAAACCTGGGGTGTCCCCATGTCCCAGCTGCTGGGTGACCTGTGTCACTTGAGCCGCAGGTTTTGTGCAGGCCCAGCAGATGCTGTGCCTCAGACAGGATGTGCTGACTGAAGGCGGCTGGTCCCCGGGGAGACAGCATTCAGGCCGGGGCTGAGGAGGGGCTGATAGAAGAGCCCTCAGCTCAGCTTCCAGCAGCCCTTTCCTCTCACCCTTCCTCCGTGTTTGCCTCACTCAGTTTCCCTTTGTGTCCTCTCCAGGAATGTGGCGTGACTCCAGAAAGTGAGAACTTGACCTTGTCGTCATCGGGAGCTATTGACCAGTCGTCTTGCACAGGGACCCCTTTCTCATCCACCATTTCCTCCCCAGAAGGTACCTGAGGGAGCACGGAGCCAGGGTCTTTCCTCTGGGACAGGGAGGGTCTCCCAGGTGCAGGACTGAAGAGGGAAGGGGCTTGCTTTCCTGCTTTCTGTGACTTGACAACAGGGAAACTCAAAACTTCCTGAGGTGGAGTTCTGAGCTCCGAAATGTAAAGTAGCAGAATCGTGGAAAACCCAGTCTCCCACCTTTTGTAGGGAGGGGCTGCCTGGGTGCAGAGACTGCCTAGTACTGATGTGCACACTTCCCTCCCACTCCTGTCCCCAAAGACCCTGCCAGCAGCAGCCTGGCCCAGTCGGTCATGTCCATGGCGTCTTCGCAGAGCCAGCACTCCCAGATCAGCACGGACACTGTCTCCTCCATGTCCGGCTCCTATATCGCCCCAGGCCCTGAAGAAGAGGGTGAGGCGCTCCCTTCCCCGCAGGTTGCCAGCAGGGCCCCATCAGAGGAAGGAGAGGTAAGGGGGATCAGAGGTCTGCTGTGCTTGTTACACAGTGCTCTGATGAAGTGCTGTGGGGAGAGCAAGCTAATCAGTATTTCCCCCAAGAATCCCTTCTGTGGGCCTTTTCCTTCCATGTCTAGGGTGATTGTTATAGCCCTGGTTTTATAACTGGGGAGCACTGGGCTTGGAAGTGCCCCCTCCTGCCAGGAGTTCTCTCTTGGTGGGACAGCCCACAAGGGCAGCGTGCCATTGATTGTGTTTTGCAGGTGATGCCACCGGAGTCTCCAGATGTCAACTTTGTTGGCCTCCCAGCCGAGGAACAGGATGCAGAGGTAAGCCAGCTGGGCTCCTGGGTTGGGGGTGAACGAAAGCTGGGGAGCTATGTCCTGAGGGCTTCCCAAGAGACCTGCTCAGACTAGGCAGAGAGGCCCGTGCTCCAGGGGCCATGGGAGCAACCGCAGGGCAGGCAGAAAGGGAGCTCAGGGGGCATCTCTTTCAGGCCGGAAACTCCTCCTGCCGTTGTTGGGTGCTCTCAGGTTGATTCGGACTTAGGACCCCCCCGCCCCCCAGGTGACAAGTAGAACTGGGCTGAGGCCTTCACTCAGCAGGGCAGCTCGTTCTCCAGGAGTTCTCTCTTGGTGGGACAGCCCACGAGGGCAGCGTGGAGCCTCGAGGTAGATTCAGACTGCCTTCCTTTTGGTCAGCAGGACTCCTCTTCCAGCCCCCAGATCTGTAGACTGTGTCTTTCATTTGCAAGGGGAATCTTGTCCCAGGCACACCTTGGCCCTGGGGACATGAAGGCATGAGGGACATGCTTTCTGCCTGAGCCCCGGGCATTTGGGCTGTGGGGACACAAGTCTACAGGGTCACTAGAACTTTCTCTTCAGCCACTTCATCTCAGAAGAGCATTTGGATAGGTTTGGGATTCTAAGGGAATTCTGGAATTTTATGATCAGCTCTGACCAGTCTTCACCTCACCGTGCCTCACAGAGCAGTCTGCATCTAGCTCACTAGGGTCCAGACTCGTGAGAAGTGCATGCTACTGACCTGGACCTGGAGTAGAGCCCAGAAGGCGGTCAGCTGTCTCCACTCGGTCCAACTGCACTGGACACTCACATTGTCCCCTTCTGTCCTAGGGAAATGATGTTGTAGAGGAAGAAGATGGATCCCCCACGCAAGAAGAGGGTAAAAGACCCAGTAATTTGCCCCTCTTACATTCCTTTCCTGGGTGCACCTTAAAGGTCAAAGGGTGTGGGTGTGACTCCAGGGTGCTGTTCAATGTATGCTGTTGGGGGAAGGTTATCTCCTGGTGACATATCAAACGGGACAGTCGGCTGGTCTCAGGGCCCTCCCCAGCTCTTTCTGGGACAAAGAACCCAGGATGTCAGGATGAGGAGACTGTGTTCACATTTCGCAGATTCTGGCTTCTTGGGCACCTCCCCTCGCCTTTGTTACGGCTTTTCTGCTGAGCCCCACAGTCACTCTGGCAGCCCTGCTGTTGAGGAGAAGCAGAAAACCAGCTTCTTCTATGAGGGAAAAAGGACTCTTTGGCAGTTGGTTTGGCTTTGCTTCCGTTGAGACCGATGGTACCGCAGTCAGAGGGATTTAGGAGCTGGCCAGGGAAGCAGACCCAAGCTCCTTTAGCAACCCAGTCAGCGTTTTCTGGGCTGTTGTAATGATTGTTCTATCATGATTCAGGGAGGGTTTTGTTTCCAGTTCAAACTAGACAAAGGGAACAACCCACTGAGTAAGGAAGAAGAGGGGCTAGGAACCCCCAGGTGTTCCTGGAAGCAGACCTGCTCCCTGCGCTGCTCTGAGGTGCCCCCGTGGGAGGTCACCCCCATGGCACTCAGGGCCCAGCCATCCGCAGATGTCAGCCTGGTTGCTTCTGCTTTAGTGCTGGCCGCTGCTTGGGAACTTTCAGCGTGCGCATGCGACCTGACAACTCCTACCTGGCCGGCCAACCGCGGGCAAGGATGAGGCTGAGGCTGTACCCACCAGCCCAACAGGGGTCTCGGCAGGTCATCCCTCTATCTTGCTTCATCCATTGAATATCTGGTCCCAAGATGGGCAGGGCCTCCATGTTGTTCCAACCAGCATGTCAGAGCCCACCTGGCGGATGTATGCCTTCTCTCCCTTGCACCGAGAATAAAGGGGGGAGGGGCGCTAGCAACCAACATCTCCATCTTCTCCCCTTCCCCTCTGCATACTAAGAACTACAAAATAAATTAAGCAAACCCCAAGTCTGTAAATGTAGCTAATTCCGACCTGGTATGCAAAAGCATGGAACCTGAAGCTTTTAGCTGTTGTCTGGCAAATTGACTCATTTTGTAAAGCCTTTTGGGTCAGCCACCCTGCTCCCCAGATAGACACAGTCCTGGGCAAGTAGCTTTCCCTGCCTCGGTCCTCAGCAGCCACTCCCTGACCCAGCGGCTTCCTATTCCTGTTGAGCCTGGTTCCCGCACACGGCCCCCCCTCAGTGACCTTATTCCTGCAGCACATCGATGGGAGAGCGCAGCCCCGCCCACCCCGCCTGAGGCCTCTATCATCCACTCTTTCCCCACTTAGTCTTTTTTTTAACATACGGTTTGATTTGTGTGTCTCCATCCTTTAGATTTTCATTTTAAGGACAGCAACGCAGAGAAAAGTAACAGCCAGCCCCTCTCTAACCGCATTAACTCCGTTACAGGCCAGAGGACAAGCGCATTTCTAGGTACGGAGTGTGACAATAACAATGACTTTGACATCGCAAGCGTGAAAGCACTGGACAATAAGCTCTGCTCTGAGGTCCGCTTACCCGGTGAGTGGCAGTCTGCTGAACAGGAACTTGGTGGGAGACGCGCCCTCTCCCGTGACCCCTACTCTCACTCTGGCCCTGAAGTTCCTGGGAAGAAGGCATGGGGGTGCTAAGATGCTGGAAACAAGTTGTCCAGAGAGTGAGGAGGTCTCGTTGAACCACCCCTGCTCTGAGTGAGATCAGGACAGCAGATGAGGAGCTGACCCTTTCCTTAGGATCCGACCTCCTCCGGCCCCACAGAAAGCAGGTCAGGTGGCTCGGGCTTGCTTTCAGCAGCAGGAAGTCTGAGGCAGACAAACCACCTCTCTATGAGGTCCTGGCAAGCTAGCCTTCAAGCGAGGATGATGCTTAGCTCCTCAGAAGGAAATACACTCTGTGAGGATCTGAGAGGCATTTGGAAGCTATGTTGTGTTGTTGTTAAGTGCCATCGAGTCAGTCCCGACCCACAGCGACCCTGCGTAGGGTTTCCCAGGAGCAGCCGGTGAGCTTGTGCTTCCCACCAACTTTGTAGTCCACCTTGTGTAGGCTGGCCAGTATACTTTCTGAGCCAGCGAGTTTTCAGTGAATCCCAAAGGTGAGGTCAGGGGCCCAGGGTGGCTTTGTTCCCTAAAGCCTTTAGAATTGACTTTTAGAATTCATCAGGGTGTGTTTGAAGGAAGGCACCCCGATACTGTGTCACAATACTAAACTCTGAGTCCAGGGAGGTGGTGGTGTCGCTAAGTGCCATCGAACCAGTTCCGACCCATAACAATCCTGTATAGGGTTTCCAAGGAGCAACTGGTGAGCTTGAACCACCGACCTTGCCATTCAGGGCCCCTTTGCAGTCCAGCGTATTGACTCACAGCCACACCAGGACTCGAGTGGTTCCCTAGCAAGGAACTGTGCTCAGCACACTGAGAGTACAGCATGCCCATTCACAGACTCCAGGAGCACTTGCCCAAGGGTTCGCCCTGTGGTGTTCATGACCCTTTTAAACACCCCGAAGGAAGACTTCCTTCACCCTCAGAACAGCCACCTCACGGGTCCAGTGCTTTGCTCGCTCAGCGAAGTGGCCGGAGGCAGCCCAACCACAGCACCTCCTGTGGACTGCCACTCTTCATCAGCCCTGTAGGGGGCGCAGGTTCCAGGAAAGGGTTCCTCAGCTGTTTTCTGTCCTGTTGACGTTGCCCGGTTCTCTTCACCTTCAGTGAGGCCATCCTGTCCCACCTGCCCCCGGGGCATAGGGAGGAGAGCGCATGGGCCCACAAGGCCAGCCTCCCAGCTAGTCAATCTAAGGGTCAGGCCTAAGGTACACTGCCCGCCTTCCCACTCCTTACCTGGCTTCTGTCTGTCCATTTGTTTTTTCACATCTTTTCGCCAAATGTGAATCTGTCCGTCTGTTTGTTTCTTTTCAAACTCATTTGTGTACCGTAGACTTCGTATGAAAGGTCACATCCACCTGTGCTAACTAACACTGCCCTCCCCGGCTCTGCTCAGCCCGACACCAAGCTTTCTGTTTCCAACTGCCAAGAGCCTGTAGTCCTTCCCAATACTCAGAGCAGAGTGTCCAATAAAAAGTCATTGTGAGAATAAATTAACTCCCACCCCACAAAGATAACTGGGGAAGCTTCTGCGTCTAGGATGACGGGGACGTTCCCAAGGTCCATGCCCCGGTGAAGGTGTGGTTGGCCTCTGCCCTAGTGTCAGGGGCAGCTTCACCCCAGCTCTGCTCTGTAAGGGGCTCCTTCCACCCTTAAGGGCTCTCCCGCAGCCCCCACTTTGGGGCACAGGGAGCTACAGGGATTTGTTTTAACCCCCTCCGCTGGTGGAAACTGAGCTTCCTCCTCTGCTGCTTCCTCTTCCTCCCTCCCTCTGGCCAGCCTGCTTGTTGATATTTATTCCACTGGTGGAACTGGGGAGGGGAGCGAGCCCTAGGCTTCCTTGTGGTGACTGAGCTGGCTGAGTTTGGTCAGACGAGGGGTCAGTGCTTGGGGTGTTCACAGTATTCTCACCAGAGGCCTCAGGGGCTCTTACAGGAAGGGGGATGGAAGATCAGCTCTCAGGAAAAGGTTTCCCTGCTTCTGCTGTTAGCATCACCCCAAACGCTGGCTCAATAGCAGGAATCGCCACCTGGGTAGATCCCTGTGGAATAAGTAGGCCTCTTCACACCCAACTTGTCAGTTCCCACCAGCAGCTTAGGACTGGGATATCTGCAGGGTGGCTTGGCTCCTCACGGCCCCATGGCCAGCTGGTTCCTCATCTGGACAGCTTCTCATGTCCCGGCCTCCGCTTGAGTCTCTTTCCTTCTTCAAGCGAATGCTCTCTCCTCCTAGAGGCCATGAGAAGTGGAGCCCAGGGGAGCAGCTATGCTCTCCCTCTGCCGTGCCCCCCACCCACCCATGCTCACGCGTGCTCCGCTGGGAGGCCCAGCTGGTGGCCAGATTACACAGGCTCCTTGCCTCACCCTTGTAAGGTGTTGAGAAGATGCCTGTGCCATTCCGGCCCCTCTTCCCCAAAGGCATTTCTGGCTCAACTTGGTCCCCAAGACCAAGGGTAGATTTCTGGTTCTTCACACAGGAGGGGTGGTATGTTCCGAGACGGCTTCCAGAGGCTCTCAAAGGGTGAAAATCTAAGTGGACAGGTGTTGGTGTAAGAAGATTTGAATTGCAAGACCATACCTAGAACATAGCTGTGCTTTGAAAGAATGTGATAGAATATTTGGTAGTCTGGAGAAATGGTGGTTCTGTGAAAAGGAGCTGTGGGCAGAATGTAGGAAAGCAAAGACAATTTGGGTTTGTTAGTGGAAACACAAATCTATTTTTAACCAGCTGCACTGTGCAGGAGTGAACGTCTCTAGTAGAATCTAAAAATACTGCAGATCCAAATTCCTAAAGGCTCAGAACTCCAGATACTACTAGAAAAGTTTACCTTTCAAGGACCAAGGAAAAATCAGAATTAACTTTCTCACCTGGAGAAACTGTACAAACAAACAGGGATTTGTTTGAAATAGCAAGCTTTGGATTTAATTAGTGACTTCGTAGAGGTCATTGTTGGTATGTACCGTGGAGTCGGTTCCGACTCATAGCGACCCTGTACAGGATCTTTATGACAGCAGAAAGCTGCATCTTTCTCCTGCGGAACAGCTGGTAGTTTCAAACTGCTGACCATGAGATTAGCAGCCCGATTCGTAACCTCTGTGCTACCAGAGCTCCTTGTAGAGGTCATTGTTTGTTGTTCTGACTCATAGCAAACCTGTACAGAGGTCATTGTTGTTGTTAAGTGCCATAGAGTTGGTTCCGACCCATAGCAACCCTGTATAGGGTTTCTGAGGAGCAGCTGGTGAGCTTGAACTGCCGACCGTGCAGTTCAAAAGGCTTTGCAGTCTGGCGCATTAACCCACAGCGGAGGTCATTAGCCTACATTATTTTCTGAAAAGGCATGTGGTTTCCCTACATGTACTTCCCACACCTGCCTCTAGAGGTCTCTTCACTCTCCTAGTTCTCTTTTCTCCCAAAAAACAGGACTCTAATAAGGAGCTCTGGTAGCGTAGTGGTTACGAATCGGGCTGCGAACCTTAAGGCCAGCAGTTCGAAACTACCAGCTGCTCCGCGGGAGAAAGATGAGGCTTTCTACTCCCGTAAAGATTTACACCCTCGGAAACCCTGTACAGGGTCGCTATGGGTCGGAACCGACTCGATGGCACTTCACAACAACACAACAACAGCCAGTACATTTATCTTTCTCCCTCAAAGGATTTCAAATCTCCAAGCTCCATTTCCTAGCTGAAGGGCACTGGCTTCAGCCAGACAAAATGGTAGCACTCACTTCAGGAACCTTCCCTCCTCAGCATTCCTAGGCTGTTTCCTGCAGCCAGTCTGCCATGAACAAACCTAAGGAGAAGGCAGAGGGCAGCAGGGTGTAGCTGTGGGCCCTTTGGAGTCTTTGTCAGGGGAGAGGGTGCCTCATCTTCGCTGCTAATCTCCCCTTCCTGAGCATGTATGGAATCTAGGGAGAGTGGAGACTTCAGATTCAAGTCTTGGGTCTGTTCCAGAAGGAGCTGGTTTGGGGCCCTCACTAAGGGCTCTATAACTAACGGTGGAGTTGGTAGCCAGCCTCTTGAGAGTGGCGAGTAGCCACGTCTCGGGCCCATGTTCCTGACGTGGCAGCGGCACTGCTGCTGTTACTGTTTTGGTTCTGTGCATGCGTGTGTGTCTTTTCTCTTGTTTACCATTTGCTTTTGGTCTTTCCTACTGAACAGCCGCCGTGCCGGAGTCCTGCCCCATAAACATTGAGGACTAGGTATGAGCTCTAACAGATGAACAAACAACTCACCTTGGCTTGGGGTTGCTCAGTTTTCAAAGGCAACACTGCCTTCTCTTCATCCTGTCACACCCAGAGTGCCCCTTTCCTCTGACCCATGGCCTATACTCTAGTTTGGGTGGGAAAGGTCCCCAAGAAGACCCTGCTCCCCTGGTTTCTCTTCCCAGGGGTCCACCAGCACAGACTGTTACAGCCTTCGGGTGGACTATTATCACACATGGGGAATATGCAGTCCATACCCACTCAGCCCTAACACTTTGGTCCCCAAGGGCTTCCTGTCTTAGGGTTTCCTGCCTTAGGCTGGTCTGACCCCAGGAATTCACAAGTGCCCTCCCTGGAACTCGACATAGAGTGAGCCCTGAGACCACCTTCTGTGGTTGGTCAGCCTGTCCCTGAGGTACATCCTATGCTGGATCAGGCACTGTGTTAGGATCTTGGGACACAACAATGAGTAAAACTGCCCTGCCCAAGAGGAGTTGCCAGTTTAACAGAGGAGTTAGAGAGAAATGGGTGGGAGTGTAGGGTACTAGGGTATGCGTGGTGAATGGAGGGTGCCAGGAGACAAGGCTCAGGGGGCCTTCCAGCCACCGTGAGGAGTGAAGCCTTTCTCCAGGGCCAGGGAAGTGTCGGCCCAACTCTCTTCAGGAAAGAGTCCGTAGCAAACACACCCAGTAAGCCAGTCTGTGGGCTGCGAGAAAAATGAATCAGCAAGGCAGGCATGAGGTGGAGGAACTAGGCCTGTGTTTCCTACAGGTACTGAGCACACCATGGGTGTCGGCCCCTTCGCTTTGGGCCCCCCTCAATTACCTCATGTACCTCTCACAGCAATCCCATGAGGTAAGTACTTGTCTCCCATTTGATGGCTGAGACACCAAGACTCAGAGTCAAGCGGCTTACCCACAGTCTCACACACAGTTAGGAAGCAGTACACTGGGATTGGTCTGACCATAGCTTAGATGGAATAAGGAAGTAAGCCTACCAGCGGCTGTGGTGCCTGGAGGGGAGAGGCTGCTGAGGGGCTCGAGCCTGGTGCTCCTCGTGCACATGAGGAGGGTGATGAGCTTCAGGGCCCTCTGATTGCTGCTCAAACGGATGCAGAGAGAGATGGTGAGGGCAGGGCAGGGGTGCTGGCGTTATCTGATGGCCCTCTGTCCATGGAGCCTGCTGGGCAGCCAACACTGGGCCCCATCTCAACTCCCACTGCAAACAGTAACACTTGGGCCCAAATTAACATCTCTTCTCACTGCCACCACCCACCACCGCTTCCTGCCTGGGTGAAAAGCTCTTAGCTAGCCCCAGTTCCTTTTTCCTTGTCACAATGACATATAGGCAAACTTCAAACCCAAACAATTAAGACACCAAAGTGGCTCCTAGGGTAAGTTCACAAAAAAGGAACCCTGGAGACACTCTCCCAGCAGGGCAGTGACTGCACCGCCCCCCTCTCTGTGTGTGTAGGGGGTTGGGGAGCAGAGGGGCTTGCACATGCCTAGACACTCAGGTAACAAGCATCCTGTGAGCTCCATGCTGAATTCCTGGGCTGCCCTGCTGGAGACACCGTCTGGACCTCGACCAAGCTCTGGCTCCTCGTAACCTTCCTGCTCTCTTCTCCAGGCACCTGGCAGGCTGATGACAATGCTGTGGGTCGGAGGAACACTCAGCACCAGAGCTTATCATCACCCAGCAGCCTGGAGGACCCCGAGGACAGGCCCTGTGTGTGGGGTCCACTCGCTGTCTGAAGAGTGCCACCCCTGTACCCAGGCCTTCCTGTTGTCCTCACATGCCATCTCGTCCTGTCCTCCAGCCGCTGGCCTCATGGGCATCCTCATCAAGCCCCCTGTGGACTCTAGTCCTCCTGTGAAAGCTACCTGATGAGGCCAGCCTCTTCCTCCTGTTCCCCTGGTCCTCCCCCACCCAGTGACTGGAAGCTCTGACTCACAGGACCCTTGGCAGGCTTCACAGAGCACTGCCCGCACGTCTGACCTTCAGGTGGAGTCAGCTCCACTTGCTGGCTGTGGCTTATGCATCTTTTATACCCTTAGGGATACGACCAGAAAACTCGGAGTTTCCGTGGCTTTCCAACTGGCGTTTTCTGGAACAATCTCTGGGACATCCTAGCTGATTTCAAACTAGTTTGGGTGGGACTGAGGACAACTGTTGTGAGAAGGGAAGCAGCCATACCAGATACGGAGTCTCCCTCAAGTCCCAGGACAGTGGTGGCCACCCAAGGGTTGGTCAGAAAAACCCTTCCTCCCAATAGCAAAGCTCATCTCCCCTGGCCTCGGAGCCTGTCTGCTTAGGAAGGAGACCTCAAACCTGAGGTCAAGATGGTCCTTCTGATCAGGTGCATTCACGAATGCCTGGGGTTCCACCCTAAGAATCCTCTTCAAGAGACACACTTTCTGACCACATCTGTGTGCCAGGCACTGATGGGCACTGCCATCTATAAGCACTTTCATCTTCACCACAGCCTGTGATGTGTGTGGGATTCTTCACCCTGTTGCCCGTCTCCACCCTCTTGTTACAAGTTGTAGAAATAGGCTTTGAGAGGTGATTCTCAAACCAGTGCCCAGGTGCCCCAGAAGAACCTGTGCTAAATCCAGGCAGCAGCTGTGGTCTGGGAGCTACATGGCCAAGGCCAAGACCATCCCCTCGAGGACCCCCCTGCCCCCTGCCTTCTGGATCTGCTGAGCCTGATGGGTGAAGGGGTTGAGTCCCTACAACTTAAGAGAACCTTTCACAGGTTCATTATTTGAGAGATTTAGAGGTCGTGTCATTCAAATCATGTATCCCCATCCCAATGGAATTATACACCAAAACCTGAACCAGCAAGGCTAACCGAAGCTGAGTCACTCCCATCCCAACCCTGGTGTTAGCAGTGAACACCACCACCAGCTCTTGGAGAGATGCTTGGTCTGTAGGAAACACGTGGTTATGTAGTGGAACATGGGATTATTTGAGAAAAGTTCAGTATCACGGTCCCTAGGAAGGCTGGCACCCTTGGCTCCGCTCCTGACAGATTCTCTTAGTATTGGGCGCTGCTACTCTAGAAGAGCTTCCCAAGACCTTTTCCAGAGTCTTCCTGAAAAAGCCCAGCACCAGGGGACCCTTGTACAGGCCAGGAGGGAGGGAATGACCTGCACCGCCAGGTGGCATGGCACACTCTGTTGTCCCAGCTGAGATGTGATATAGCCAAGCCTGGATCAAAGCTTCGGCCTGGACTTCCATGATCCGCTCTCTGGAATACCTCAGTGGGTGCTGCCACCGCAGCCCTATTCATCTCCTTTCTCCCCTCAGCATTTTATAGTCCCTTTCATATCTGACCAGGATGAGGTAAGCAATAACCTAGTTCTGATTTCCTTCAAGTTAGAGCTCCAGAAGCAGCAGGCAGTGGGGAGCCTGTGTGAGTGAGACCCACCTCCCCGCCTTGCTGGTAGTATTCACAATGTGGTGTAACTTGGGAGGCTCCCAGGAAGGAGCTGAGATGAAGGAGAGTCAGGTCAACAGTAGCCACAGGGCCAGGAATCCTATGAGGAAGCAATTACCTACTCTGGGATCTGGGTCCTTCCTCCTAGGATGTGCTTGGCCATCTAGGATGAGTATGTGTCAGAACACTCCTTGATAAAGCCCTGGGGGATCTTGGCCTGGGCCTCAGCGGACATTACCAGATGGACACATTGAGTTACCACTGATCCTTTCACTCCTTGTTTCTCAGTTTCAGACCTCAGCTTCCAGTTAATTCTTTGGCAAGTGGAACATACCAAGCAAAGGGCTTGCCATCAGTCAGCCTGAGAGGGTCCAAGTTAGGGCCCACCCTCCTGCTCCAGTCCTTCAAAAACAGTTTGCCAGAGAGGCTGGGGTGAGCCTAGCTTCTCACTGGAGGGAACAGAGGATAGGATTCCCAGAGGTCAGGGCTCCTTTCTGCCCTTAAGGTCTGAGTGCCCCTCCCTAGGGCCCTCAGGTGGAGTCAGGATTCCAGCTTCTTCATTGAGCCATCGTTTTTTTTTGTTTGTTTCACCCCAGTAGAGTTGGTGCCCACAATGGGGCATCTCTGGGCACACACTTACATAGACAGAGGATCGTGTCTGCTGGTCCCTGGCATGCTGGTTGCTCACTCTGCTTTTACATCTGCACACCTGGAGTGTGCAAGTGTGTGTGTGTGTGTGTGTGCGCGTGCGCGCGCGTACGCGCTTGTTTGTGCCACTGTGCACTCCTTACTCTCTGGAGGACACACGTGGGCACATTACAGAGAGGATGTGAAGGATGCAATATTTATGGATTGCTGCATGATTCTCAAAAATGAATAAAACCGTTTACAAGGGAAGGAGCGCTGTTAACAGAGACCGTAGCTATTTGTGACTGCTCTGCCTGACTCTACCGGGCTCTGATATTTTTATTCAAGGGAATCTAGGGAAGAGGTGAGAGTGCAAGACCTCGGGAAAGCCCTGCTTCCGAGTGGGGGTTATCGGCCTTTCTGCCCTCAGAGACCTGACTGCGGCGCCCCACCCCCACCCCCTCTGCTGTCGCCTTAAACCGGAGAACTCCCAACACGCAGCCCCTCAATAATTAAAGAACAGGGAAGTTGGTGACAGGAGGGAGGCCAGGCCAAGGGGGGAAGGCGGGCTGCCGTTCCTAGTGTCCCTCTACCCTTATTCCCTGTCGCTTAAAGGTGGGTAAGATTAATGGGGCAAACGACCCATCTGCAGCTTTTCAGAGTCCCCCACCGGCTCCGGAAAAGAGATTCCGCAGAAGCCTCTGGAATATCACCTCCCTCGCTGGGATAGTAGTGGGGAGGCGCCGCTTTCCGGGAAACACCGGTTGCCCTACCCACCTCTATGTGTCTGCGATCGGTGTGGCGTTTCTGCGGACACCAGCGGCAGGTGGCATCGCCGAGCACCAGAGACGACACTTGGGGTCGGGAGAGAAGAAAGTTCGCGGAAACCTGAGAAAGACACTCGCAGCCCAGAGGCGAGGAAAGTAAACCCCAAGAATACGATTCCCGAATCTGGTCCCTCGCCCGGGCTTCCGGGTGGAGCTGGCAGCAGAGGTTCGCGGCCTCGGGCGGGAGAGCGAGGCCCGCGGGCGGGAAGTCGCGGGGGGCTGGGCGGGCGGGAGAGCGCGGCCAGAGGAGGGAGAGCGCGGAGAGTTACCGCTGGAAGGTGTCGCGGTCTCCTAGGAGACGTGCTAGCCAATGGCAGTAGTGGAAGCTGTTTACAAGGGCGGAGCGTCGCCATGGAAGCAAGAGAAGCCTTTTGGAGCGGCTACTTAATGCCGGTCTCCGGGCCACGGGTGCTCAGAAAGGCGCCGTCGGGCGGGGGGGCAAGGAGGTGTACCGGTAGGGCCCTTGAGCTGGGGGCGGAGAGCCACGGGGTGGGGTGAGAGGAACTTCTTCCAGAACCTTCCTCTGGCCCAGGCTGCCTTCTGAGCCAGGTAAGGGACGGGAGGGTCGCGGGCCAAGGGCTGGGAGGGTACCGAGCTGGCTCTCCCATCCGACGCCGACGGAAGTAGGGTACCCAGGGATTGACATTTAAGGAGTTGTGGGGGTAACACTCCTCGCTCCCGTTCCCTTCCTTTCCCGGGATCCCCTCAATCTAAAAGCACTTTTAAAGGATCAGACGACCTTCCTGGGCCCCCCACCTGCCCCCTCATACTGCTTTCCCTTCGCCCCATTTTCATTTGTTGGGGAGGATATTGGTTTTCCACCCATTTGGAGAAACGGGTGCCCCTGCTGTCTTCCCACATTTGGCTTATGATCTACTGGAAAACCTCGGGGAGAAAATGAAGAGGTAGACGCCGCAGTGACTTAACCCGAAGGCACTGGTCCTACTCCCCCGATCCAGGCACTAACAGATCCTCTCCAGTTTGGGGGGAGCAGAAACTCCCTTAAACATAACCTCTCATCTGGGGTGAGGAAAAGCGCTCAGCCTCTGTGGTCCCTACAGGTGACCAAATACTCATTCGCAGGCGGCGTCCATTGGACCTAGCAATGAACTCGCGCGTCCCAGCGGCCGAGTAACTGGAGCCGCGGGGTCAGCGGCCGGCGAGCGAGGCGCGTCCCTGGGCTCAGACCGTGGATGGTGACCGCCCCCTCGGAGAGCCCGCGCAGACATGGCGGAGAGTTGGCTACGCCTCCCCGGAGCTGGGCCGTCGGAGGAGGCCGCGCCCGAGGTCGGTCGAGAGGAGCCCGACGCCCTGGACGACAGCTTGACCAGCCTGCAATGGCTGCAGGAGTTCTCCATTCTCAGCGCCAAGGCCCCTACCCTTCCTCCGGGAGGAGCCGACCCCCATGGCTACCACCAGGTGCCAGGTTCGGCCGCGCCGGGTTCTCCTCTGGCGGCAGACCCTGCCTGCCTGGGACCGCCGCACACGCCAGGCAAGCCCACGTCGTCGTGCACGTCGCGGAGCGCGCCCCCGGGGCTACAGGCCCCGCCCCCCGACGACGTGGACTACGCCACTAACCCGCACGTGAAGCCGCCCTACTCGTACGCCACGCTTATCTGCATGGCCATGCAGGCCAGCAAGGCCACCAAGATCACCCTCTCGGCCATCTACAAGTGGATCACGGACAACTTCTGCTACTTCCGCCATGCTGATCCCACTTGGCAGGTAGGGGAGGTGCTGGAGGCGACTGCTCCCTCCCCAGCCCTTCCCATGCCCCCCTCTGGACTCCCTCCCAGGACGCCCACCCCAGATTAATAGTCCACGTGGGTTTGAGGCCGTGAGGGCAGGAGGAAGGCCGTTGATGGAGGTCCTCCAAGAAGCCCTGTTCTTGAAGCTGCCCTTCTCTTGAGCTACAGAGAGGCGGGAGATGGAGAATTCAGGGTGAAGAAGGTGTTAGGGCCACAGACGTTGAGGCTGTAGGAGAAAGAACTCGGCCTTCATCCAACAAGCCTAGTCTAAGACCAGGGCTAGAAGTTGGGTGGGACAAGCCTACTGGAAAAGGTGGTGGCGGGGAGGGGATGCAGTAGGGGGAGTAAGGACACATTACTGTTCCAAGTCCTAAAATTCCTAGACACAGCCCCTGCCCAAGGACAGTTTGTCACAGCAGGACCCCTGCCAGGTGCTGCATCACCTCTCCTGGCACGAGGGTGGGCCAGGGCAGCGGAGTGTAAGCATCTGTGTTCTCTGGAGAAGGTGGGGGCCTTCCTAAAGCTGCCCTTCCAGCCCCCTGCCCCACCCCCACCCCAGCTTCCTGCCTCCGTTCCTACCCCTCCTCTCAGCCAACCTCCCTGGGGGGACAATTACCTGAGCCTGCTGCTCTCCACAGGGGCTCTGCTTGCCGCTCTTGCTTCAAGTTCCAAGTCTCAGGAACATGGCACAGAGCAGCCAAGGGGCCTCAGCCACCATGTAAACATCCCAGCCCCACCTTGGGGGCACTACCCACCCACATGTCCTGCTGACCTAGCCCCAGACCTCCCCCGCCGCCCACCAGCATGGTTTGGACTACATTAAGCACCTACAAACAACAGGCAGAATAGTGGGTTTGAGAGCAAATAATGCCCTGAGTCTTCCTCTGACAGGATCAGGAGCTAGTTTGGTTGGGGACACAGATGCCAAGGACACCCAGGCTGGCCAGAGTTTCTTCCCTAGGGTGCCCATGGGGGCAAGTAACTGCATTCCAGCCCTGACACATTGTTTGCTTGGGCTCTGACCACCAGGCCCTGGGAGAGGAAGCAGAGACCCCCATCCTGCCCTACCCTGGGTTCTAGAAATAAGCTATGCTTTTGGCTGAGTCCAAGGAGGGGGTGCTGGGAGGTGAGGGCCCAGACCAGCAGCTGGCTCAACATACAAGGACAGTCACTGGTTCACACACACACACACAGAGTCGCCTAGCCCCCTTCCCTCACCACCCCCTCACTTTACAAACAGAGGGCCAACCAAACCTGGACATCAAGTAGTGGGGTCCAGGCCCTGGGGGAGCTGAGGACTTTGGCCAGAGGCCTCGAGAGCAGTGAGGTAAGGGAGGGGGGCAGGCGATGGGGGTGGCACTGAGAGCCACCCTGTGGCTCAGGCCTCGGATGACTGAACCCGCAGATATCCCAGCAACAGGAACAAAAGCCCCTGACTGCACTCCCGGCTCCCTGTGCCCTGTGGCTGGTGTCCCAGCCCCAGACCAGTGTGTCCATCCCCCGCCTCCTCTGTTGGGAAGGAGACATGGGGGGTGGGGAGGAAGAGGCGGGGGTTGAGGGCTGTGCAACAGAACTAGGTGCCACCTCACCTCCTACCCTTCTCTGGGGCTGGCGGACAATCTCTCTCTCTCTTACTCTCTCCCTGTGCCCAGAATTCCATCCGACACAACCTGTCCTTGAACAAGTGCTTCATCAAAGTGCCCCGGGAGAAGGATGAGCCTGGCAAGGGGGGGTTTTGGCGCATCGATCCCCAGTACGCTGAGCGGCTGCTGAGCGGGGCCTTCAAGAAGCGGCGGCTGCCCCCAGTTCACATCCACCCTGCCTTCGCCCGCCAGGTCTCCCAGGAACCAAGTGTTGCCCCCTGGGCTGGGCCACTGACCGTCAACAGCGAGGCCCAGCAGTTGCTGCGGGAGTTCGAAGAGGCTACGGGGGAGGTGGGTTGGGCAATGGGCGAGAGCAGGTCTGGGCACAAGCGCAAGCAGCCGCTGCCCAAGAGGGTAGCCAAGGTCCCAAGGCCGCCCAGCACACTGCTGCTGACCCAAGAGGAGCAGGGCGAGCTGGAGCCACTTAAAGGCAACTTTGACTGGGAGGCCATCTTTGACTCGGGCTCACTGGGTGGAGAGCTGGGCTCCCTGGACAGTCTGGAGCTGAGCCCACCGCTGAGCCCTGCCTCACACAGCGACGTGGACCTCACGGTCCACGGCCGCCACATCGACTGCCCTGCTACCTGGGGGCCCCTGGTGGAGCAGGCTGCTGACAGCCTGGACTTTGACGAGACCTTCCTGGCCACCTCCTTCCTGCAGCACCCGTGGGATGAAAGTGGCAGTGGTTGTCTGCCCCCGGAGCCCCTCTTTGAGGCGGGGGATGCTACCCTAGCCACCGATTTGCAGGACTGGACCAGTGTGGGTGCCTTCTTGTAAGAGGCCAGGCCCAACCCCATCTCCGGACAGTGCCCATCAGGGCCCAGAACTGCCCCCCAACACAGGCTCCTGGATGCCCCACCGCCCAGGCAGGGGCTGGGCAGGGTCTCCTGAGGCTGGGCGGCCCTCAGATTCAAACCCAGGAGGCTGAGAACTAGGGGTCCAGGCCCAGTGCCTCCCAGCCCCCCACATACACAGTGTTTCTTAGAGCCTTGTCTGCTCCGCCCCAGGACCCTGCGCTGTGTGAGCAAGGCCTAAAGGGGCCCTCCCCCAGAGCAACCCCTGCCTCACTGCCCGTTCTTCCTCCCTCCCCAGGTCTCTATCCAGAGAAAGTTCCCTGGTACAACAGATGCTAATTAGGTGACAGCAAATTAACCCCCTAGAGGCCTCTCCCGGCAGAGCCTCCCTGGGGCAGTGGATGGGGGAGGTGGGCAGAGGACAGGCGTGGGGGCGGGGCAAGTTAAGGAGACAAACTCCTTGAAACCCAGGCAGGGGGGCCAAGGCTCTCTTCCTTCAGGTCTCTAGGGTCTTCACCTGGCTCCATTCTGAGGTGCCCAGCTGAAGATATAAATCCTAATTTTTGCATCCCACTTGAAACTGAGAGCAGCAACTGTAGGAAGTTGGGGTTCCAGTGACGGGACAGGGGCAGCCAAGCTGAGGAGGGGGACAGACAGACTAATGTAGTGCACGTAGCTATAGCTAAGACTTAACAGGGAGACCAAGCTGGCTGGAACCACTGGGACCAGGAAGAGTGGGGAGTGACCCCTCCCCTGCCTGCACTTGGGCCCCTACCCCGGCTGTGTCCCACATCCCCCCTCCTGCCCCAAGGGGCAATTTAACCTTTTTCATGGAAATCTATTTACAATAAAAAAAAAATTTTAAATAAAAAAAATTTTAAACCTGAAAATGAGCCTGGGCTGGGCTTTTTGTGGGGGGAAGTAAAGGAGAGAGTTTGGGAAATGAGGCCTTCTCTTCCACTGTCCCAAGGAGGAGGGCACAGCTGAAAGGAAGGTGGGATAGCCACAGGGGGGCCTCCCCACAGCCTCAGTTTCCCTCGGGAGTATGTGAGGGAGAAGTAGCCTCGGGGTTCCTCTGAGGCCTGGGCCTCAGCGCCTCTATCTGCGCAATGGGGAGAACCGCGCCCACAGCCCTGGGGAGCAGGCAACATCACACTAAGAAGGTGAAGCGTTACTCCCCCTAGCCTGGCCTCTGGAGACTCACAAAGGCCTATGTGTGCCCAGGGTTCGTCCCCCACCTCCAGGGCCTGCCCGGGCTCGCCCGCTCAAGCCCTGTGCCCCAGTCTGGGCCTGCCTCCAGTGCCTGCCTCCCTGGGACCTCTCCTGGTGTGTGGGCATTGAGGTCAGAGTCCCAGCCCCACAGGTTCAGACCTTCCCTTCCAGGCCCAGCTCAAGCTAGGGAAGGAGGAAGTCCTCTAGGAAGCGGGGGAATGCTTAGACCCTCTCTAGAACTTACTCAGTGAACGATCTGCCTGCCACAGTGCTGATGCGGACACTAAGACACAGTATGTTTGTATGTTTGGGGGACACTCCATCAGCACCTTGCGAGTCCCTCACCCCAGCTTGGCCTGTAATTCACCTTCCCATCCAGCACCCCCTGCCTCTGGTCCCCCATGCACCTGGTGCACAGCATCTCCACATGCACACACAGGATACTCTGCCACAGTGCTGGCCAGTCTCTGCAGACCCCCTTGCCCACCACTCCTTTCATTCCTGCACTCAGCGGGCTCCGGGCCAAGCGGGCATTCACTCTGCTAACTTGCTGCTTTCACTTGCTAATTATTCCAAATATTTCAGTTGGGCACGCTGCAGGGCCTACCGGGGTAGGAGCCTCTGGAGCTCAGAAGCCAGCTTGTCCCCTTGATGGTTTGGAGCCTCCAGCCACCGCTGAGTGGAATGCTCTCCCTCCCCAAGTACCTTTTTTCCTCACTCTCCACTACACAGCAGTGATGGCCCCAAGTGGGGAGCCAAGGGACTCTAGTTTTCAACTGCCAGGATCAACCTTCAGCCCTGGATTGATGAGCAGGTCACCTTCTGCCCCTCCATCACCCCTCTGCCTCCGGCTGATGCCCCAAGGAGATGCCCAGGGCTGAAGCGGCAGAGCAGGGCTGTGTTCTTACCCCAAAACTTCAGAAAACTGCTAGGCTGTCCCTTCCGAACATTCTACCAGAGCCTCTGGGAGGTGTACTCAGCCCTCTGTCATTTTTGAAGTAACCTATGTGATTCTGAAATGAGACCCAAACAGAATCCTGCATCAAGGGGCTTCTGGCACAAGCAGTATGGAGGTGTGGAATGCAGGACATTTAGAGCCAGTCACTCCTATTCAAAAGGAGTTTTGGTGGTGCAGCGGGTAAGTGCTCAACTGTTAACCAAAGGTTGGTGGTTCCAGCCCACCAGTGGTTCTGCAGGAGAAGAGCCCTGGCCATCTGCTCCCGTAAAGATTACAGTCTAGGAAACCCTACAGGGCAGTTCTGCTCTGTCTCTTGAGGTCTCTACAACTCCTATTCATTCCTGACTGCCCTTCCTATGACGCCCTTACCTCTAAATGCTTCAGACAATGACATCCCAACATAACTGTAGTCCACAAAATCAGAGACCACGGAATCAATTCAGACTCATGGTGCCCCCACGTGTATTGAAGAAGTGCCCACAGGGTTCTCAGAGGATTTTTCATAAGTAGATCCCACTCATGGTGTCGCCCTGTGTGTCAGAGTAGAACTGTGCCCACAGGGTCCTCAGTGAATGATTTTTCATAAGTAGATCCCACTCATGGTGCCCCCCGTGTGTGTCAGAGTAGAACTGTGCCCCACAGGGTTCTCAGTGGATGATTTTTCATAAGTAGATTCCTCTCAGGGTGCCCCGTGTGTGTCAGAGTAGAATTGTGCCCACAGGGTTCTCAGTGGATGAGTTTTCATAAGTAGATTCCACTCATGGCGCCCCCGTATGTGTCAGAGTAGAACTGTGCTCCACAGGGTTCTCAGTGGATGATTTTCCATAAGTAGATTCCACTCATTATGGTCCCGTGTATGTCAGAGTAGAACTGTGCCCACAGGGTTCTCGGTGGATGCTTTTTCATAAGTAGATCCCCCTCATGGTGCCCTGTGTGTGTCAGAGTACAACTGTGCTCCACAGGGTTCTCAGTGGTTGACTTGTCATAAGTAGAGTCTACTCATGGTGCCCCCGTGTGTGTCAGAGTAGAACTGTGCCCACAGGGTTCTCAGTGGATGATTTTTCATAAGTAGATTCCACTCATGGTGCTCCTGTGTGTGTCAGAGTAAGGCCCACAGGGTTCTCAGTGGATGATTTTTCTAAGTAGATCCCACTCATGGTGCCCCCATGTGTGTCAGAGTAGAACTGTGCCCACAGGGTTTTCAGTGGATGATTTTTCATAAGTAGATTCCACTCATGGTGCCCTGTGTGTATCAGAGGAGAACTGTGCTCACAGGGTTCTCAGTGGATGATTTTTCATAAGTAGATTCCACTCATGGCGCCCTGTGTGTGTCAGAGGAGAACTGTGCTCACAGGGTTCTCAGTGGATGATTTTTCATAAGTACATCATCAACCTTCCTTCTGAAGTTCCCTTGGGTGCACTTGAACTTCCAACCTTTCAATTAGTAGCTGAGTGTTTAACCTGTTTGTAACCCAGGGACATCATATAACCACAATACAGCCATCAAAACCAGGAAGTTGACAAGGGCCTAATAATGCCATCTAAGCTGCAGACCCCAGAGCCCATTCTCATCTTCCTGGTGGTCCCAATGATGATCTTATCTGTCCCAGTGTCTTAGCCCAGGATCACATGTTGCATTGAATTGTCCAGTCTTTTTTGAGCTGTGTGGCTTGGAGCTCATGACTCAAGCTCTCTGAACAGGTTCCTCATCTCCTTTCATCCTAACCTACAAATCCCACCTTCCAGGTGACAAGCATCTGCCATTTCATTCTCAAGTGTTGGAGAACACTTCCCAGAGCAATGGGTCTCCCAACATCTTGCCTTTTCCCCATCCTCCCAGCATCCTCATCTTTCCTCCCCAATGGGTCCCCTAAGCCAAGAATCCAGGAAGGGAGAGAGGGCATAAGGAGGAAAGTCAGGAGCTCAGGCCTTGAAAGCCCTTGTCTCCACCCACAGAACAGGCTAACCCGGGCTCCGGGCTCCAGAGGCATCTTGGATGTCAAGAAGGCACGGGACCCCCCTGGGCTGACACTGTATGTCCCCCTGCAGAGCTGAACTGGAGGGCACACACATACACACAGATGCTACTGAAACTTGCAGAAGGAAGAAGGTGAACTGGAGAGCCCGAAAGAAGGTGAGTGAGAAGAGAGAGATGTGGGAGGTGGTCAGGGATTGGGTCAGGTCTGTCCTGGGCTGAAGCCCAAAGATAAACAGGTGTATTTGGCCTCTTGGCAGGGGGCAGTTAGTTGGTTAGGGGCAGGCCTGGGCCTGTCCGGTGGGTGGTGGGTGGGGAGGGGCCTGTGCCTGGTTTGACAATGCGGTGGGGAGTGCCTGGTTCTGCTGACACATTCCTGTGTGGTGAGGAAGAAACACAGGTGGCCCAAGGTTTAGACAAAGGAATGGCAGCCCTGCTGGGACAGGGGAGGGGGCTTCCTGAGGCCACCCACATTGTCTGTGTTGGCCAAGATGAGCCCAGGGCATGCATCAGGGCTCTAGGGCTCTGGGTCGTCTTTCCCCTTCCCTTCCCCCTCCCGCCGCACCTCTGTCCTTCCCACTCTGGGGCTCCCAGGTGGGACAGGTCACAGCGACCACAATGGGACTGGACGGGCATGCTGGGACCTAAACTTGTCCTGTGTACGTCAGGAGTGGGCAGGGCCAGCTGGGAAGATATTGGGAAGCCTACCAGCCCAAGCAGACAGGACAAGGAGGGAGGGGGGTGCGCAGCAATCCTGGGGGCGGCCAGGTCCCCCAGGTCCTGGCCCAGTCCCATCTGCCCTGTGAGCCATATCACACTGCCTCACTGCCTGACGTTGGTCTAAGGTGTAGTAGCAGGCATAGAGCCTCTTGAAGGAAGAAGCAGCTCCACTGAGCCCCCCACCCCCAGCAAAGTGAGAGTTCCAGAAACTGAGAGGGGAGACCCAGTGCAGCAGTGC